AGATTGAAGCCCTGCCGCTCCCGCACAAGCCCCTTTTTCCTCCCTTGGTGCTCATGTTTCCCCGGCCAGCCGCTAAGGCCGAGGAAAAGAGAGGCGACCTAGTGTGAACAGTATCAGAGCTAAATTTAACATCTCAGTCAGTTCTCCCTTTTTACACCAGAGATAATTGGTTCTCGTGAGATCCATAGGTAGAGATAACCGTTGCTAGAGTGCCCACGCGGACCTACGATGTCGTCTCACAACCACTATTAGAGCAATTCTCTAAAGCAGACACGAGAAAGGGTGCTGTTATTGTTGATCGGGTACCTAGGTATCTATCTGTTCTTGGTAATTGCTACTGCAACAGTATCATACTTGCACTCTTAGGTAATCGAACTCCTCGGCGATTCATTTCCGTATCATTCGAATTAGCAGCTATCCTTCACTACCCCCTCGGCGAGCCATCCAAGTAGCCCTTGAATCTCGCCATATCTTTCTCTAGCCTCTAGCTACTTCGCAACTCCATTCTCCTCACCCACAGCAAACGGATCAACATCCGGATCCGTATTTCGCACATACTCAGACACATCAGCCAGGTCGCGCGCGACGTCCTCGCCCCACTGGTCCGCTACGAAGGCGTACATCATGTCGATGCCGGCCGAGATGCCCGACGACGTCCAGATATTGCCGTCTGTGACCCAGCGCGCGTGGCGGACCCAGTTTACGTTTGGACCTTGGGCTGTGGCCTTTTGTGTTTCTGTTAGATACCTCACTGACCGTTAAGAGATAAGGTGATAGGGAAATAGGGGTAGTATTGGGGACTCAGTAAAGGGGGCGGAGAGGAGAGAAAGGAAAGGTAAATAAAGAGGGAGAAAAGTACCCATTCCCACGCCCTCTTATTCGAAGTCGCGCGTCTCCCGTCTAGAACGCCCGACTTGGCTGCCACAGAGCTGCCCGTGCATACCGTGAGCAAGTACCGCAGACGAGGATATACTTTGCGCACGAAGTCGACGACATCTTGTATGTCCCCTAGATCCCGAGTACCCGTGCCGCCAGGCAAGAGCAGCACCTCGATATCATCCGGGCTTTCTGCGTAGGTATGAGTAGGCACCACCGCCTGACTGACGCTATGTCCCGAGGTGGAAGTCTTAGTCGACACCGCGTCCAGTGTTGGGGACAGGATGTACAGGGACAGAGGCGTCCGCCTGGATAGAATGTTGAGGATATCGAGGGGCCCGAAGACGTCTAGGGCTTGGAAGCCGGGGAATAGCGCTACGGCGAAGCGGGTTGGAGGTTCGCGGCCATTGGGGACTTGGACGGGCATGGTTGCTGGGTGGAGTACAACGGGACGGAGTGCTGCGCTGGTAGCGTGCTTAGGAGAAGTGAATGGCCATGCAAATATACATTAATATATATTCGACTGGGCAAAATGTATAAGTAATACTGAGCCATGCTTTTCCGCGACATAATAGCTAAGTCGTCAGCAGGAGACTCGGAGCAAAGTCGCAGACGATGCGAACGTCGCCAAGCATCGCGATACGGGGGTCGGAACCGGGTTAATCTGAATAATACGGAAGGGACTGACGCGGAGTTGTGCATACTAGGTACATAGAATCCTGTCAGACTAACTGCTGCTAGCGGTATAGTAGGTTAGGGAACTTGCGATGTTGCAGGGGGTTCTTGGTTAAACTCCGCTGCGCCTCGGCGGTTTTAGTCTCGTAGGCCGCAAGGGGGAATGCGGATTAATAAGATGATAAGAATCAGGCCTGACTTATGGGATTTTAATGAATATCTGCTATACATGGGATTGATTGTTCATCTGTGTGGGAAGTTAACCACGGCCCAGGCTACGGGAAACCCCTTTTCTTAGATGGGAGTGCTCCAGCGGCAGGAAGCATGAGTAAATAGTATGAATTGTGATTAGCAGAAGCTGGCCGAAGCTGAGATTCTAACTCATAGATGTATTGGATGCGATAAGATGTGTTATTGAAAGCAGGCCTTTGCCGAGAGACTCGACCTAGACTTGACTCCATACCTTGATCATGGTGTTGAATAGGCCCAATCCAGCCCATACTTCAGTAGACCACAAAGGGGAAAGAAAACAACATAAACCAGCCGCTTCAGCTGCCAAACTAATTGAAATAGGTCTGATCGACGTCATCTTTGCTCGTGCCAATCTGGACTTGGGCAACATAACTATCAACCTGGACATCCTGACCACCATAGACACCAAACTTAGGCTCGCTCTGGCCGGGGAACATATTTCCAGTCAAAGTCTGGGACTTAGTAGTATCGAAAGTCACAGGCTTGCCATTGAACCAGAGCTTAGCATAGCCTCCATCCGCCTTCGCCAGGATCTCCAAGCCGATCTTGTACTCCGTGCGTGTCTTGATGCCTTGCGACCATTGCACTTTACGCCCCTCCTTCCACTTGAAGGTGTGCGAGAACTCGAGCTTGTTGTTGCGTATCTCGAGAGCCAGAGGGATGTTGGCGCCGCCGTCTTTGTCGTTGTTGGCTTTGTATTCTTTCCATTGGAAGATGATGAGGCCGTCGGGTAGTTCCTATAAAACGCATTAGCTGTTGTCATTGTTGTATCTCCCTATGAAATAGAGCTAGGAGACGGAATTATAACTCACGTCGAGCGCAAATGTGTACGTGATGAAATACGTAGTTCCCGCCTTGGTCTGGCCTTTTAGCGCATGGTATTCAGCCCTGCCGAAATCCTCGTGTTAGTCTCGCCCGCGTCAAGAGATACTGCGATGATGAATTTCCATACCTGCGGTACCCAGCCTTATGGTGGAAGTGCGCCCTATTTTGTCCATTGAAATCCTTATCCAACCTGATGTATAAATCAGGAGTGTTGCTCTTGGGTCGGTCGCCCTTGTCCTTTTCCAGATTGAGAGTGCCTAGTTTCTTGGGGTCATCACCGCGCGCGGCGTTGAAGTCGACCAGAGGTGCTTTTCGGGGGCTCAGCTCTGCTGGTATTGATTCAACTTGGACAGGCTGGGCCAAAGCAAGCGAGATAAGGAAAGTAAGAAATAGGTAAAGGAACAACATATTGTCCAAACTTTTTGCTTGTCTTGGTATTAGTCTTGGGTTTGTTGTTGCTTTTGGGGAGAAAATGCGGACTTCGCATACATTTATATATTGTTGAATTAATTCTATCAGGTTCTGACAGAGGGTCAGCGAGTCAAAATACTCTGGCTGTGCTGGGAAATGCCCCAATCAATTCTCAGGGGCTCAAAGCTCGTAAGTAAAAAGGTAGGGCAAAAATGCCTTATTGATGATGATATCTACCTCATTGATTTTCAGATACCTAAAGTAGCAATTCTCGCAGCATGACTTCATATACGGGGGTGATGAAATTATACCAGACTGACGTAAGCTGCCTCGAGGCAGTCTGCGGGCATATCAGGGCGACAAGGTAACTTATTCACATCAATTCAGACGTAAATTTGAACAATCGAGACTTATTTTTGGTTTCTATAGATGACCTACATCCATGGATGTCAATTAATTTTGTCCTTGTGAGAAATAGAGGGAGTTAAGGAGGCCTACCCGTTTTGTTCTCTAAGCTGCGATGAATCTCGAAATTCTCAACCCCTATTGGCTACCCGTGATCACTTGGGCATGTCAGCACCCAAATTGTCACTATTACTTAGCTAAGAGCCATTGTACCGCGGTTTCATCCCAAATTTGGCATTATAGGCTCCGGTGTCACGATGCCAACCTTACGCAGGGGGTGCGAACTATGTTGTTCCGCGCGGGACTCTAAACCTAGCAAGCTCGTGGTATATATAGAGAGAAGCCCCTTTGTCTGCGCTGTCTTAGAGCCCAACAGACCCTTACCTGTAATGCTCAGGCCTTCTCAGGTCGAACCGTGACAGGCTACCTCTGACATTCACTAAGTACCGTTGCAAGAGTGTATGTAGGTAGGCTTCAGGCCTAGCAAATAGGGCCATAACGCCAGACTCCCAAGCACGATAACGATATGTTCGGCAACCTTGCCCTGGTCATGTTGGTTTTCTGCTTAGGTACCTAATACAAGGCGTGGCAGGAACTCGCGTATAGGGACGTCCATCACGGTAAGTTGGAGATAGAGCTGTCGTACAAGGAGCAGAAGTCCTTCTATAGGGCAATCCTTTGATGTTTTATCATTGGCCAAGTCCAAATCACTGTAGCCAAAGGCTTCGTGGTGTCCGCCGGAGCCGTAATGCGAACGGACGCCTCACACTCGTATGACATGACTCTCGGCATAAAAGGCTGTGGTATTTCGAATTCTTGGAAACGTTCGGTAGAAAGGTAGCAACAGCGCTTGACCTTCTGTCCTGATTCGAGCAAAAAGGGGGATTGTATCGTGGTCGGTATCCTTATTATCGAGCACCAACAGCGTCAGGAGTCGGGCAAGGGGGTGTTCGTCATAAAGCGCATAGACAGGCCAAGGAGTTCGCATTCGTGGTCTCGAAATGGCAGAAGCAGTTCACCTAGTCTTGTGAAGAGCTATTCAGATCATCCATTGTATCTATTCTTGGAGTTCCATTAGCCTACGATCTGTTCTCGTATTACATTGACAGGAGAAACCCTCGGGCTATACTAACCGTCTCGACTTAACAATCCTTTCTCCTCCTCGGGCGTAGAGTATCGTAAGCCCATTATCATAATTCTTAGCGTCGTCCAGATGCTCCCGGGACGTAATATTGTTGCCAGACTAGCTGATAGCTAACAACCAGGCAATCATTAGTTTTAGCGAAGGCTGTACAGCAAGTTAGATACGGTTGGCAATAAATCTAACCGATATTGAACATAAGGAAGCGAAGGGACAAACAGAATAGAACGGGACGCCTACGGGCAAGATAATGATGAAGTACCAAACTCAAAGTGGGAGAGGAAAAAGTAGAATAGAATACACGACCTCCATAGGCTTGAACAACTTCATGTAGTACCTAATGTAATGCGTACTTCATGTCCAAGGAAAATTAAACAACACCAAATAAAAATAATAATGAGTAGAAAAAAAAGATCACCTGCACCGGGATTTGAACCCGGGTTCCCGGCTTTCTGGACTGAGAGGGCCGGATGCCGGTGAGTTAACCACTACTCCATGCAGGCTTTAGCTTGCTGAGGAGGCCAGACTACACTGTTTCCTCGCTTGTTGGAAAATACAGCTGCAACTTAGATACATATGTCTTCTAATGGCCTCCCATTGGCCCTATATTATGGAAAACCGTACCATTTCCGGCCAGTACCTTCTCCGCTGAGGAAAGAACCGAGCAGTAGACCGGCACCGCTCCGCATTATACACTCTCTGGCTGGGCTCGGCACCTGCCTGGACGATGACATCGTCTGTTTGCGGCCAATGGGGACTCAGTGCCGAGTTGCGTGTGACCATAGAGTTAGGTACTAGGCTGGCTTTGTGAAAAATAGCTCATAGAAGGCTTCAATTCTGGGTATCTACCTGCCTATATGTTCCTACCTTGTATGAGGTTGTCTACCGAGGTACATATGTAGCAAGGGGGCTTAGTGCGAAGTACATACGCCTAGCTTCCACCAATTCACATTGTGCTTGCTTCCTGTCAGTTATGAGACTGAGGATATCCAATTTTCATAAATTTGAGCATAAAAGGGAACGATCTTGATAGCGTGTACAGCCTTCAGAAGGGGAACAAAAGGCTCCTTCATCCTAATTCTTTTTTCAATTCCTTTTGAAAGCCCTTGTTCACTACTAGTCCAGTAGAAAGCCATTATACAATGAATATGACATTCTCTCCTTTGTACATAAGGTAGGCAAACAGCATCCTTATGGCTCCTCGTCAGAAATTTCTACTTGGTATGCGCTTGCTTGGAGCCAGGTTACCTATATATCACTCGAAGGGGTCACGATCTACAGGCGTCTTTCGGCTAAGAAACCCCTTTGCGAACCAGATTCTGCGGAAGTATCAGAACAGCTGGTAGCTTCTCGCTAGAGACGCGGAATCCGCAAGCGAGAGTCAACCATTGCATATTCCTAGCTATAACTGACTTAGTAGACAAATAGCGAGATGTTTGGCAGGAGAAAATCCCGAATTACCCAACCGCCCAAGATCGTCGCCGCGTTCCATCCAAACGAAGACGAGTTCAGAGAGGTACGTTCAAGATGTGCCAAAGCCTGCGCCGAGTACAACAAGATTGACGAGTTCACCAGCTCCATCGAAAGGGGCTACAGGTTCATGAAGATCTTCCCACCTAGCGCAGCGCATTTCGCACCGCCCTCGAATATCCGGACGCCGTTTTACATAGACTACGGCCTGCGAGTCTACATCCACGAGACTGTCTTCATCGAACGCGAGTGCAAGATCGTCGATACACCCGTCGCCGACATCAAGATTGGGAAATACTGCAGCATAGGACCGAACGTTACCATCGTCTCTGCTGGCCCTCCTCCGGCACGGATTAATATTCAGAACCTGGCCAGGGGACGTCGTGAAATAACTGGCCAGCCCATAAACATCTGCGAAGGTGCCTGGATCGGAGCGTCCGCGGTGATCGGTCCCGGCGTCACCATTGGAGAGGGAGCTGTTGTCGCACCGGGTGCGGTGGTATTAGAAGACGTCCCTGCATACACCGAAGTCCAGGGGAACCCAGCCTGTGTTATTAAGGGCGCCGCGGCGTTGAATACGGCTGAACTTGAAGCAGAAGAGGAAACCAAGCCGCCCCAGTCTCCGTTTTCTTACTACCAGGTGAACTAAGTCAAGCGCTGACATTGCTCCCAGTGTGTTCCTACGTGAGGCTCCAGGTGTGTCTTAACGTCGCAACGTATTGTGCGAACTTGGAATTTATGTATTGGAGAGGTGGCAATACCTAGATTCAGGATTGTTCTATATACCGTAGAAGCCTACGTAGTACCAAGCAAATATCCCATCAATGATCCCTGACGGAAAAGCTCTTCAGATACTTTTGAATAATTCCTTTCTATAGAAGGTACTTAAACAGCGTGATATTATCTAATTCTATCTCTATTTCTCCAATTGTATGCTCAATGTGAGATATCTAGTCATCATCCTTTTCCGGCTCTGGGGGAGGAAGGGCTCGTTGGCTTTGCTTCAGCTTCCGCGCATAGCTATAGATCCTTCCCATCGTTTCGATGTATTTGAGTACTTCTTCTTCGGAATCGCCTGTAGATAGGTAATTAGCCATCGGTCAATACACCGGAGATGATATCGCCGACATACCGGCGTACTCGCTGATCAAGTATACGAATTCCGCCGTCTTCAGCGCGCTGACGTCCACGATGGAGGTACATATCACGTCTATGTCAAGGTATTAATCCTCTTGCGCAAATTGGGGCTTTCGTACGCCATCTGTTGACTTACAGCCCAGCACGTTCTCGTATTTGTCGCTGAACCCATTTCCGGTGAAATTCCAACGCCAGAGCTATTGCGTAAGCCAAGTTAGCTTGGAGAGAAGATATTTTCTAGTAGAATTATATAGCTTGTAGTAACATACCATAACGTCCAAGCGTATGACGCTGTTATGCTGTACATAGACGAAGAAGGCTTCCTGCTCGTGCTCCCCGGCGGCTGTTGTCGAGAGGATATCTTTCATTGCCGTCGAGACAATTTTCTACATGAACCTGTTAGACCACCAATTCCACCGATGCGTACATATATCGTGGGCGTACCTTGAAGCCGTCCTTGAGTGAAGCTTCGCTGCTGAATCCGGTCTTAGCGGTACCAAGGTAGTTGTCGATGGCTCCCGAGACATTTTCCTCTGGCTGCGAAAGTCGTCAGCGTCGAATCTCCTACAAAATGGCCGTTCTACTTACAGCTCCTTTGATACCGACGTTCGAATACCGCGATATGCGTAAGGCACGAAGTCCGGGGACTTGAGTCTTAGCCACCGAATCCGGATTGAGGAATCTCCTAGAAAAAGGCACACCCCATTAGCTTTTAAATAGTGGAATTGCGTGCCTATAGTAGAATCCGTTCTCACTCGCGCAGCTTGTCTTCGAATTGATTTAATTTGTAGGCGACTGCTTTTTGGAGGACCTCAAGGTCTTGCCTCGCTTTCTGCCTCTCTTGCTCGTCGGCCGCCGACGCTTCTTCGTAAATGGCCGAAATAGCAGCACCCATGTTGCCGAAATTGATTTAATTCCTGATTTATGCAAAATCACGGATTTCTTAAATATTAGAGGATTTTGAAGGAGCCTTATTAATCCCCAAGGAGGCGGTAGCATAGGTACTTATATACAGGAAGCAGTATTTGCGTGTAAACGGTAGCTGAAGCGCTAGCCTCTAGTGCGCACCCGCTATTGCGAGGTATTCAGCTTTCAGCTCGGACGTATGTGCTATTGCGGGAGCCGCTGTGGTGCCACTGCATCGGGACTCTGCTGTAAGCATTATAAACATGTTCTGGCCAACTCCTTGAGACTAGAAGGAGTTGGTATTCAGACTTAAGACTGCAGCTAAAATGACTAAGTGCAGCTATTACGAGTAATCGCCGAGAGCAGACTAGTTGGCCTTTCCCAAAGCAGATGAGCTGTGATCTAGACTCACCCTACGGTATACTCGATACCGGGGCGGTGATATACCTACATATCTACCTATACATATGTAGGTAGATATGTAGATGAAATTTCCATTTTTAATGCATATGTGCCTTGTATCTCCTATTGAACCATCGAAACCGGATAGTTACCCCTAGATGCGTGCCTACCTGCTAATCCTTGCTCCTACCTCGCCTGATCAAATCATCACCTACTCTTGTGTTTATTAACCTTCAACTTGTTGAGTTTCTCTAAATAGTAGGACATATCGACATGATTTTAAGTTCGTATCTCCTTTGGAAAGAGTTTGGTTAAACTGAGAACATGGGGTAGAATTGGGCTTGTGATATCCCTGGTCAGGTAATACTTCCATTTCGGGAAACTGGATCCAGTCTGGACCAATGAGGGAGGCAGGCGCTGTGTAACAGTACTTGGGTATCACGACAATGAACTCGAACTATAGTCGAAGTACATACGTGGTAGCTGTTTCTGCTGTTCCTGATTCCCTTAATTGTGTTAATTACGTAGACAAGAAAACTACTACGAAACTGTCAATAGCAACAAGTACGATGGCCTCTCGTCTGGCTTGCCTACATACCTACCTAAGATACGTTGGTCTTACGAAGCACGAATATCAGCTACAAGCAGTCCAACCATCCATTTCTTACTTAGCCACCACAGAAAACATCCTCTACCGCCACGTCAAACTACTAGAATATGTCCCTATAAATCATAAATATTCAAAACTAGCATTTTCTATACTCGCTGTTCTTTCCCGTATTATTGCCTTTAAATACCTCTGTCGACAACTCTCCGTATTCTCGGGATCACTGATTGTCGACGTCGATGCTCATCGCTCTGTTGACTGTGGAAGCAGACGTCAACCGAAGTCATGGAGCGCTTCGAAGGCATCGATCCGGAGGCCCCCCGTTGCGTGGCGTGCGGTGAAGTAAAGCCCCAGACACGAGTGCTTCCATGTAGAGATGTTTTTTGTCGGGATTGCTTGATCAAGTTTTTCGAAGTTGGCCTGCAGGACAGGTCCATCTGGCCACCGCGATGCCACGGACAACCGACCACCGAGCATGACGTCGCTTGGACAGAATCAGACGACCTCCTGGAGAAGTTCAGACAAGTCGGGCACGGACGCGACTTGACAAACCCTCTGTGGTGCGCCCAACCACGATGTAGCACTCTACTCGAAGAAGAAAACGTAATGGACGACGGGAGGGACGCTGTGACTTGCGACAAATGTCAAATTACGACCTGCAAGAAATGCAAGAAGGCTCATAACCCCAAAGAGACAGAGTGCAAGGATTCGGATTCAGATGTCGTTTTGGACGAGATGGCCAAGGTTTACAAGTGGAGGAGATGCCCGTATTGTCTCATAATGGTCTCCCGGAAGGGAGGGTGCAAACGCATACGGTGAGTTTACACGCCATCCATGTTCTGCGTTAGGCACGGCGATAACCTCATTTACCATTTCCATTCCTCTAGACATCTACTAACCTGGCCTTCTTAAACCTACACAGATGCGTCTGCGGTCATCACTTCTGCTATATGTGCGGCTCAAGCCGGGCAACCTGCGATT